CAAGTTATTTTAAGAAATGGACGTGTCTTTTTTTTTTTTTTTTTTGGCTGAAATGTTCCAAAAATTTCAGCCTCCGACTGACACCACAGATGGAAAATTTCAGGCCAGGTGGCTAAAGTTTGGTAAAGCTATAAACAGCATGAAACAATGGAATGTGAGGCAGTCTTTATAATATGCAGTGCTACAAGACTTGCCTATAGTATGCCGGCACAGGGATAGTAGATCTCTTCTGACTTGTTTAGATATGCTCTGAGTACCGACAACTTTTGGAATGTGTTGTTTGGTTTCTTAATGCAGATTCCCTTATGTAATATGGATACATTTAAATTCACATATATGCGTAACCTCTGAGCCTTCCCTTGGGATGGAGGAATATTCAACTAGGTTAAAGCCCACTAAAATGCCTTTTTGGCAACGTGTCAAGGCATCTCTTGTGTTGAGGGATTGAAATATCAGTTAAAAACTATGCAGTGCAGCAGTTACTGAAAGAATCTGGTCTCTGGTGGCAAGGCAGCCAGGTACAGGAGGGAAGGAAGTAGCCCTGAGGATGAACACTGTATTCACCTTGTCCAAATTTGCAAAGGTACTAAGGGAAAAAGGATGGCTTCCTGAATAAACCAGGTTCAGGCTGGATTGTTACTTGTGCATCTCTTTCAGCATTGGGGCAAGGAGAGGAAAATTTTCCAAACCCAAGGAGTCTCTCTGGGAGTCGCAAGCTAGGCAAGAGGTTATTTACATTCTTTGCATATATATCCAATGTCTTGCCTGCTTTTCTAGGCTTTACATTGCTTATTTTCTTCTAACTGTATCATGTATGGTCTTTAAAATTACCAAACCTCGTTTACCTGCCTTGTGTATGCTGGTAATGATTTCAAGGAATATTGACAGTGATGATACAAAAGGGAGGTGACCGTAGTCAAAAATGCTACTCTGCTGTGCAAGAAGTCTGGCATATTTGCCCTTTATGCTTTGGTTTCACATTCAAAGGGTTTTTTCTAGGGCAGAAGGAATGCTAACTTATTGGCTAAGAAGAGCAACAAGGTGGTTAGCTTTGTTAGTCTGAAGTCAGTCCAAAGCCAGGTTTACATATGCACCTTTACAGACTACATAAGACGTATCGAGAGAGCATGTGCACACCTGAGGGGGTGGACTGGGGTTCATGAAACCTTGTCCTCTCTATATATCATATTTAGTATATGAAGGTGCATATCTACCCTGCCTTCTAAGAAAAGCTAAGCCGCTAGATTTCTTTTTACTGTCAGGTTGAGGGTCTGCAGCATAGTGGATATGGATTGCCTTGCTGAATTTGGAGAGTGCTTGTCTGTGTCCTTTCATAGAAGTTTAAAAAAATAGGACTCTATATAGTTGGCGCAATGCTTTTAAGCTATTGTTTAGAGATCAGGATGGGACGTGAATCTGTGCAGCTGATCTACTGAAATCAGCATATACCAGAGTTTGAAGACCAGAACCCACAAAGGTTTGAGTCTTTTTAGTTGAAGGGTTTATAATGGGCTGGAAAATTAATAATTGTTTTCCGTAGTATTTAAACACATCACATCTGGAGTCTAGTACTGTGAAACTGAGCTGTAATGAAACAGGCTTTTGGAATACATTACATATTACTTGTATTAATTACCACACAATCATGACATCCTGTCATTCTCAGAATGACCTTTCTCTTGGTGCAGGAATTTGGGCCGTATCTAATTAAAGTCAATAGTAAGATGCCTTTTGGCCTCAGAGCAGCAGCAGAGCCACATACAGCAAGTGCTTATACTTCTCATTAGTGTAGCATGTGCTCTGGTACATGCTGTATTCTATGATTGTTGGTGGTTCTGGCCCTTAATTGTGTGTAAACATAATGCAAATAAACTAATGCAACTTCTATTTTTGCATGCTGACATGGAAATTAGGGGATTTTCAAGCTGGATTCAAAGCTACCTCACAGAAAGCTTCAGAACCATGGAACAGATTTTCTGTTATATTTTTGTTCACTTTGCAGTCTGGGAGCTAAGAACTGAATGCTGGGGGTTTACCTGCTATGCTCTGTGTTGTTAGGCAAGTTGTTATACTTGCCAGGAGGGATTTTATGATACTTTAATATTTGAAAACTAAAATTACAATGGGTGATAATTTCATTAATGTGTTGATTAGCTCAGATTGTGTTACATTCCTCTTTCTGCTGTGAAATTATAATCCTGCATCTTGCTGTCGAAATTAAAATTACAAATATAGGAAAGTAGGACCAGAAGGGACCTTCCAAGGTCACCTATATGACATTCACGTAGCATCGTGTATGGATGTGACAAAGATGACTTTGCTTCAAAGAGGGCGCATGTACATGAGATGCTGACTGTGCAGTAGCTGAATAATATTGTTCAGTAGCATGTCACAGCACTAACATTGTTAATATGCTACTGTGCAGCATTATTAGGCTACTGTGCAGTAGTGTCACTTAAAAGGCATTCGCCGGCACTACTGCGCAGTAACTCCAGTTACTGCACGTTTATTTAGTACTTGATTATGCAAGTACTCAATACAAGCGCAGTAACCGCTGCGCAGTAGTGTCTTGTGTAGACGCTCCCAGAAAGTGATTCACGTCTAGTCCCCATTTAGAAACAATACTCCTAGCATGCCTGTGCCCAGTTATCTTAAGGCAATAGTATTGAGACCTACAGATTATAGACCAGTATGCTTCTCTGTGCAGCATGTGTTTATAAGATAGTTTAAGGCCATCATGTGTTTAAATTAAAATAACATTAGTTTACAAAAGAATTCTGTACGTTCTGAAATGGCCCCTTGCACTTAATTTACAACAGGTGAGATCTTAGTGAAAGTTCAACTAAAATAACGGTGTGTGTGCATGTTATTTAAGTAGTCTTCTGATTTGGTTTATGAGAGAATACTTGCAGGAATCAAAAGTTCCCCTTAGCCACAGCCTGAGCCCAAGACCACCTCAGTTGTACAGCCCCAAGGTAAGTAATTTGCCTTGCTTTTCCCCCCCCATCTGTAAAATGAGGTTAATGCGACCTGTTTCTCCGATGCCCTAGAGGATTAATCAGAGAAGGTCTCCAAAGTAGTGTGATGATAAAAACACTATATTCGGAGAAGAAGATTGACTTCTAGTTCTATGTGGAGTCTGCCACCTGCTGGCTGGAATGGTGTATATGAGCATGGTAAGTGGAGCTGCTGTGGTCTGCAGGCCAAGCCCAGGCCGGGGGGCTTTAAAAGGGACACTTTTTGGAGATGTCACAGCACTCCCTTAGAACACCTTCTAGTTTATACCGAAGTCTTCAAGACTGTGACAACGACTAGCACAGCTCAGTTGCATCTGACAGCTCTGAGACAGTGGTTTTCAACCTGTGGTCCATGGACCCCTGGGGGCATGCAGACTGTCTAAGGGGTCTGGAAAAGTTGACCATGATCAATCAAAAGTATGTGAATACCCACGCTTGCAAGTCAAAGGGGTCTGCATCTCCAGTCGAAATTTTTTAGGGGTCCACAAATGAAAAAAGATTGAAAACCACTGCTCTAAGGAATAGGGTTTACTTTTCTTCCCCGCCCTCAACCTTTGTGGCCTGCTATTTCATGGGACCCAATCATAAAACTCCTGCATTGCAAATCTTGTGGTGTGTAATGCTTGACTATAGGGTCACAATGTAATTTGTAGCTGGAAACATTTTTCCTTATTAGACCTTGAAGTTATTTAGGCATTTTTTTTCTCTTAGCATTGCTGTGTCTGACCTCTACATGGCCTGGTGCCTAGTGGGAGGCTTGGCCCCAAGTGGTATCCAGGCTTCCTACAATGGGGGTGGAGAATCCGTAGCGGATGGCAGTAATCCTGAGACGCCGGAAAGCTGAGCGGGAAGTCACTTAAGTCAAGGAGGAGCGAAATGCTGGGGAACTTGAGCGTCCATTCAGTTCAGAGACCGGTGCCCTGCCTGGGCTTGGGCTTGTCGGTTATGACTCTCCTTCCAGAGCTAGGGGACGGAGCTTGGCCATCCATCTCGGCTGGCTTGCCGGGAGGACCCACCGAGCGCTCCAGCCCCTCCTACGAGAAACTTGTCTATGTCAGTTAAATCTCTTATCCCCGAGGCCAGATCTGTCGGCCTACACGCAATTCATAGCAACGTAACGGTGACGGGCCGTCGGGGAAACGCTTCGCTCGAGATTCAGCGTTGCCGAGACGGTGCATCTCGTAAGGTTCGCTACGTCGTTCAAATGCCGTGAAGGTCTCCAGGTCGCTGTGCAAAACGGCGGCTGAAGGGGCTCTGGTCCGGTCCTCCAGGGCGGCAGCTAAGGCCTCCGTGACGGTCTGCGAGAGAAGAAACCAGATGGATGAAAGCTTCAGACGCTGGAACAGACACCGATGCATCAACCATGACGTAAAGATGACCGTGATAATGATGATGGTGATGACAAAAGGTTATAAAAAAAATCAAATTAATCTTCGGCAGTGGGTTGAAGTAGTCGGTCACGGTTCCCGCACGGTGGAGCAGGTTGCGCCGGGGCCCAGGTGCTTGTCCTGCCTCACGGATGTGTCCTTGGGCTGGATGGTCTCGCTGGCCCAGGTGGTCCATGGCACTGGGCTGGGGCTGCTCCTCCCTTTTGGCCCCACAGCCCGGGGGTGCTTCAAGGGGGCGAGTGCGGCTGCGCGGCCCACCCAGGGCCCTACATTCTTCCGCCCGGACTGAAGATGGCAGCGAGAACCATTGTCCACAGTCCGTGCGGGGTCGCGCCTCGGAAGCGGAAGCGAAAGCGAGTGCGCTGCCCCGGAAGCGGCGGTTGT